AATTTGCATAAGTCTGTCCTTCTGTTCTGACTCGCTCTATCGGGAACCGTCGTAGTGTCTGGACCTATCGAGCTGTCAGTGCTGTCTGTTACACTTTCTAGTTTACTGTCATCTACATCCGGGCCTACTGAGTCAGAGTTTACAATCTGAGTTTCAGCCTCAGTTTCATCCCTGACTATAGCCTCCGCCCCTGTTCTATTAGAATTATTGTTATTCCATTTCCACTCCTTCTGGATGGCTGGTAGGCTTCCAATGAACGATGTTTTCCGTTCATGCGTCATGTTATCTAGAAGGTTTTTTAGGATATTCCAAGCTGGCATGTCATTTTTACACACCCAGAGCAAGTGGCCAGCTCTCAGTCCCGTGTTGTTACTCACTCCTGTACAAGCCGAATGAAATTTATTCTTACAGATTTAACATCCAATTCCCGTTGCCTTCGACTTTAAGGAGTTGTTACAGTGGCCACAAATTTGTTTGTTTACTCCCATCTTGCCTTGTTTTGTTGTATATATCTATATATTTATAATATTATATGTATACCGTATATTTGTAATAATATATATATGTTTATTTGTTCTACTGTATGGTCAGTACTTATCCCAAGGTCGAGGGTGAGGGTCCCAGAGGCTGTACAGTTGACACGTTGTTGTCCCAGGCCGCGGCTGGAGGCCCTCACTTGCCAGTTACTTGAGTTATAACACTGATATATATTAATTTACCTGTATTACCATAAGGGATTTTCTGTTTTATTTCCGACTTGCAATGGTATTCACTTTCTCTATTACTAATTTCTCGATCCACATTCCCCTATTACACTTGTTGGAAACCAATTTGCTAGTAAGCACACATACACACGGTGGGCACACGGGACGTGGGTCTATGGGCTGGGTTCAGGCACCACGAGGTGGACTCCACACGAAATTCACTTGTTATTTCCTTAAAACACAAAAGTCGGATGGCAATCACTATGGTATATTGTTTAATATATTGAGACGCACTTTATGAGATATCTGACTGTGTTTAGTTCCTGTAACACTGAAATATCCCGAGATATATATTGTTTTTCACAGAGCTCACACTCACGTGTGCTTCCCTGCCACACCCCAAACAAGACCTCGAGCCTCTTGTGTGGGCCTCTATAAAAAGCCCTTTTTAGGTTCAGACAGACACAGTCAACCCAACCACCTCTTTCCTGTAGTATCTGTGCGGTTCTATCATTAACACTAAGTAGATTTGTTCGAGTAGATTTGTTCGAGTAGATTTGTTCGAGTAGATTTGTTCGATAGGATCTTCTTGTTCGAAAACCATACTGCTTGTCCGGTTTTTTGTCATAACTCTCTAGGTGTTCAACCCATTTTTCCTTAACTATTGTTTCTAGTGTTTTGACTATCACGCTTGTTAATGATACGGGTCCATAAATTTGAGGTTCCGCTCGACCACCATATTTATAGATTGGAACTATGTTTGCCTTTTTCAATATATCTGCTAAGATTCCTGTGCACAATGATGTCTGGAATATTAATTGGAGTGGAATGCTCAGCTCAGTTGCACATTCTCGCAGCACCCAAGGTGAAACTCCATCAGGTCTAACTGCTTTATTTCTTCCTAGCCCCATGAGCAATGTTTCCACTTAGTCGTGAGATACCTCTATGTATTCTATGGAATTGGCATTGGGTCCGGCTCTCTGAAATCCTCATTTTGAACAAACACTCTTTGGAACTATTCATTTAGCATTTCACACATTTCTTTTTCATTCTCAATAGTCCTACTCCCCCGTTCTCAATCTCTGGATTTTATCCTTTACATGTAGCTTCCTTTTGATGAATTTATACAAAAGGTCTGGATCTGTTTATTATTTGTCCTCTATATCTTCCTCAAAGTTCCTTTCTGCCTTTCTCCTCAGTGTTGTGTAATTGTTCCTTCCTTGCTCGATGTGCTGGTATGCTTGCGGGTTAGGCTTCTTCCGATATTTAACTCATTTTCTTGTCGTTTCATCTGTTTTGATATGAATTTTCGTGTGCCTTCATCGTATATTTCGCAAAGTTTGGCACACATCTCATCTACTTCCTTGCCAAGCAGCAAGTGTGTATGTGTGTGTGTGTGTGGGGGGGGGGGTTAGTGAGTACTGTGTGTCTTTAGGGTGTAGTGTGTGTATTGAGTGTGTTTAGGGTGTATAGTGTAAATGTTTAGGGTGTAGTGTGTGTGTTTAGTGTGTAGTGTGTGTGTTTAGTGTATAGTGTGTGTGTTAAGTGTATAGTGTGTGTGTGTTTAGTGTATAGTGTGTGTGTTAAGTGTGTAGTGTGTGTGTTTAGTGTATAGTGTGTGTGTTTAGAGTGTAGTGTGTGTGTTTAGTGTATAGTGTGTGTGTTTAGTGTGTAGTGTGTGTGTTTAGTGTATAGTGTGTGTGTTTAGTGTATAGTGTGTGTGTTTAGTGTATAGTGTGTGTGTTAAGTGTGTAGTGTGTGTGTTTAGTGTATAGTGTGTGTGTTTAGAGTGTAGTGTGTGTGTTTAGTGTATAGTGTGTGTGTTTAGTGTATAGTGTGTGCGTTTAGTGTATAGTGTGTGTGTTTAGTGTATAGTGTGTGTGTTTAGTGTATAGTGTGTGTGTTTAGTGTGTAGTGTGTGTGTTTAGAGTGTAGTGTGTGTGTTTAGTGTATAGTGTGTGTGTTTAGTGTATAGTGTGTGTGTATAGTGTGTGTGTTTAGAGTGTAGTGTGTGTGTTTAGTGTATAGTGTGTGTGTTTAGTGTGTAGTGTGTGTGTTTAGTGTATAGTGTGTGTGTTTAGTGTATAGTGTGTGTGTTAAGTGTGTAGTGTGTGTGTCTATGGTGTGTAGTGTGTGTGTAGTGTGTGTGTTTAGTGTATAGTGTGTGTGTTAAGTGTGTAGTGTGTGTGTCTATGGTGTGTAGTGTGTGTGTTTAGTGTGTAGTGTGTGTGTTTAGTGTGTAGTGTGTGTGTTTAGTGTGTAGTGTGTGTGTTTAGTGTGTAGTGTGTGTGTTTAGAGTGTAGTGTGTGTGTTTAGGGTGTAGTGTGTGTGTTTAGTGAGTAGTGTGTAGAGTGTGATTAGTGTGTAGTGTGTGTGCTTAGTGTATAGTGTGTGTGTTTAGTGTGTAGTGTGTTTGTTTAGGGTGTAGTGTGTGTGTCTATGGTGTGTGTGTGTGTGTGTGTGTGTGTGTGTGTGTGTGTGTGTGTGTGTGTGTGTGTGTGTGTGTGTGTGTGTGTATTTTTTCGGGGGAGGTGGGGGGAGGGTTCAAGCGCGCCCCCCCAACACTAGTGTCGTAAAGCTACAAATTTGCACAAATGCGCATTTAGGTGTGTGTGCAAGGCTTGTGTGCACGCGTGTGGGGCCAGAGTGTACACTGTGGTGTGGGCCTGGAGTGTACACTGTGGTGTGGGCCAGGAGTGTACACTGTGGTGTGGGCCTGGAGTGTACACTGTGGTGTGGGCCAGGAGTGTACACTGTGGTGTGGGCCAGGAGTGTACACTGTGGTGTGGGCCTGGAGTGTACACTGTGGTGTGGGCCAGGAGTGTACACTGTGGTGTGGGCCTGGAGTGTACACTGTGGTGTGGGCCAGGAGTGTACACTGTGGTGTGGGCCTGGAGTGTACACTGTGGTGTGGGCCAGGAGTGTACACTGTGGTGTGGGCCTGGAGTGTACACTGTGGTGTGGGCCAGGAGTGTACACTGTGGTGTGGGCCAGGAGTGTACACTGTGGTGTGGGCCTGGAGTGTACACTGTGGTGTGGGCCAGGAGTGTACACTGTGGTGTGGGCCAGGAGTGTACACTGTGGTGTGGGCCTGGAGTGTACACTGTGGTGTGGGCCTGGAGTGTACACTGTGGTGTGGGCCAGGAGTGTACACTGTGGTGTGGGCCAGGAGTGTACACTGTGGTGTGGGCCTGGAGTGTACACTGTGGTGTGGGCCTGGAGTGTACACTGTGGTGTGGGCCAGGAGTGTACACTGTGGTGTGGGCCTGGAGTGTACACTGTGGTGTGGGCCAGGAGTGTACACTGTGGTGTGGGCCAGGAGTGTACACTGTGGTGTGGGCCAGGAGTGTACACTGTGGTGTGGGCCAGGAGTGTACACTGTGGTGTGGGCCTGGAGTGTACACTGTGGTGTAGGCCTGGAGGGTACACTGTGGTGTGGGCCAGGAGTGTACACTGTGGTGTGGGCCTAGAGTGCATACTATGCAGGTCTGGTTATACACTATACAGACCTGGGATGTCCACTGTACTGGCCTGGGGTGTACAGTATACAGGTTTGGGTGTACACTATACAGGCCTGGGTGTACACTATACAGGCCTGGGTGTACACTATACAGGCCTGGGTGTACACTATACCGGCCTGGGGTGTACACTATACAGGCCTGGGTGTACACTATACCGGCCTGGGGTGTACACTATACAGGCCTGGGTGTACACTATACAGGTTTGGGTGTACACTATACAGGCCTGGGTGTACACTATACAGGTTTGGGTGTACACTATACAGGCCTGGGTGTACACTATACCGGCCTGGGGTGTACACTATACAGGCATGGGTGTACACTACAGTGTACCCGCTGAGAGAGAACAAGGTTCAGAGGAAGTATCATAGATGGCGACAGACAGCAGAGAACGTTGTGTGAATGTCAATAACGAACCATATAGCAACGTCCAAGGGGGGGGGGGTGAAGGGGGGGCTTCAGCCGGCAAGAGTGATGGTGTCAGGCCGGCATTAGTCAATCGTTTTCGCAACCAGTTACGAAACCTTTGTATCTTTCCTCTGTGATGACGGTTTACATTCAGCAAACAATTTCAGATCTGCAAAGCACCACGTGATTATGTTAATAATAATAACATTAGATTGTAATTGAGGAAAGATGTACAGGTTTCGTAGGTGGGCGTGGAAATAGTTGCTGAAGTGTGGCCGTATATAGGAGCGAGGGTGTTAGCATGAAGGTGGTGCGTTAGTGTGCGAGAGAGAGAGGCAGGGGTCGCCCGGGTGCAGTAGTGGCCGCCTACCTGGTTGAACAGGCTGGGCTGGGACTCGGTGGCCAGGTAGCGGCTACTGGGACCCTCAGTCTTAGCGGTGCCGCCCGTCTGTGTGGCGTCCTGGGGCGCCGCCGCGTCCTAGAGGAGGGGGGAGTAAGTGGTGGCTGTGGGTACTGGGGCCGGGGTCACTCCCGTCATCCACTCCACCCTGGCCGCCTCCTCTACCTTCCTGGCTTGCTCTACCTTCCTGGCTTGCTCTACCTCCCTGGCTTGCTCTACCTCCCTGGCTTGGTCTACCTCCCTGGCTTGGTCTACCTTCCTGGCTTAGTCTATCATCCTGGCTTGGTCTACCTTACTGGCTTGGTCTCCCTCCCTGGCTTAGTCTACCTTCCTGGCTTGGTCTACCTTCCTGGCTTAGTCTACCTTCATGGCTTGGTCTACCTTCCTGACTTAGTCTACCTTCCTGGCTTGGTCTACCTTCCTGGCTTGGTCTACCTTCCTGGCTTGGTCTACCTTCCTGGCTTGCTCTACCTCCCTGGCTTGCTCTACCTCCCTGGCTTGGTCTACCTCCCTGGCTTGGTCTACCTTCCTGGCTTAGTCTATCATCCTGGCTTGGTCTACCTTACTGGCTTGGTCTACCTCCCTGGCTTGGTCTACCTTCCTGGCTTGGTCTACCTTCCTGGCTTGGTCTACCTTCCTGGCTTGGTCTACCTTCCTGACTTAGTCTACCTTCCTGGCTTGGTCTACCTTCCTGGCTTGGTCTACCTTCCTGGCTTAGTCTATCATCCTGGCTTGGTCTACCTTACTGGCTTGGTCTCCCTCCCTGGCTTAGTCTACCTTCCTGGCTTGGTCTACCTTCCTGGCTTAGTCTACCTTCATGGCTTGGTCTACCTTCCTGACTTAGTCTACCTTCCTGGCTTGGTCTACCTTCCTGGCTTGGTCTACCTTCCTGGCTTGGTCTACCTTCCTGGTTTAGTCTACCTTCACCGTGTTCTCAACACCTCACGCCCTCTCACCTTCTTCCTGACAATATCATGCATGTGTTTACTCGCGAAGCCTCTACATCTCTCCTTAATAACAGCAGCTTATACTGTCCACCACACAACCGTGGAGATATACATCTAGGAGTCTAATAGTCTGGGCAGCGGTCAGTTGCTTGTGGTATCTTTGCTTATTAAGGCCGTTCGTAGCTGAGAGCTTCTGCCTCACACACGTTGGGTCGGGGGTTCGAGTCCCCTCTAGTGCCCGGGTGAATGATAAAGCAGCTTAATGTGTATTTAATTTTACACGAACTACGAAGCGCTACGAGGCTTCGCAGCACTTCGTTATAACACCATTAATCTTGCAGCCCGTCCTCCAAACAAAGACCCAAAAGTGATTCCATACACCGGCCAAACCCCCTGTTTATGAATGAAAAACGGTTTACATACGACTCACAACTGATTGAGTCATGAATGTGCTTCATTCACTTTGTGAATGAAGCACTCAGAAAGTGCTTCACTGACGAATTTTGTTCGAACCACAACGCTGTAAATGCTTCACCCACGTACTACGAATACAAATAATCGCCAACAGAACCTAAACACCTAACCTGACCTATGCCTATATATGCACAATATGCTAATATATTATAATATTAATTTATATTTGAGAACATTCCCGTTTTGAATTTGTATTAATTGTTAACATTTATGAATGAGTCTGTGGGGTCGACCGCTGGATGTAATGGACGGGAGTCGAGGACAGGTTGTATAACAAGGGCCACTACAGGTTCCACAAGTCACTACAGGTTCCACAAGTCACTACAGGTTCCACAAGTCACTATACAGGTTCCACACGTCACTATACAGGTTCCCCAAGTCACTATACAGATTCCACAAGTCACTATACAGGTTCCACAAGTCACTACACAGGTTCCACAAGTCACTACAGGTTCCACAAGTCACTACACAGGTTCCACAAGTCACTATACAGGTTCCACAAGTCACTATACAGGTTCCACAAGTCACTATACAGGTTCTACAAGTCACTCTACAGGTTCCATAAGTCACTATACAGGTTCCCCAAGTCACTACAGGCTCCACAAATCACTATACAGGTTCCACAAGTCACTATACAGGTTCCACAAGTCACTATACAGGTTCCACAAGTCACTACACAGATTCCAGAAGTCACTATACAGGTTCCACAAGTCACTATACAGGTTCCACAAGTCACTATACAGGTTCCACAAATCACTATACAGGTTCCACAAGTCACTATACAGGTTCCACAAGTCACTATACAGATTCCAGAAGTCACTATACAGGTTCCACAAGTCACTATACAGATTCCACAAGTCTCTATACAGGTTCCACAAGTCACTATACAGGTTCCACAAGTCACTATACAGATTCCAGAAGTCACTATACAGGTTCCCCAAGTCACTATACAGGTTCCACAAGTCACTATACAGGTTCCACAAGTCACTATACAGGTTCCACAAGTCACTATACAGGTTCCACAAGTCACTATACAGATTCCACAAGTCACTACAGGTTCCACAAGTCACTATACAGGTTCCACAAGTCACTACACAGGTTCCACAAGTCACTACACAGGTTCCACAAGTCACTACAGGTTCCACAAGTCACTACAGGTTCCACAAGTCACTATACAGGTTCCACAAGTCACTATACAGGTTCCACAAGTCACTATACAGGTTCCACAAGTCACTATACAGGTTCCACAAGTCACTACAGGTTCCACAAGTCACTACAGGTTCCACAAGTCACTACAGGTTCCACAAGTCACTACACAGGTTCCACAAGTCACTACACAGGTTCCACAAGTCACTACACAGGTTCCACAAGTCACTACACAGGTTCCACAAGTCACTACAGGTTCCACAAGTCACTATACAGATTCCAGAAGTCACTACAGGTTCCACAAGTCACTACACAGGTTCCACAAGTCACTATACAGGTTCCACAAGTCACTACAGGTTCCACAAGTCACTACACAGGTTCCACAAGTCACTACACAGGTTCCACAAGTCACTACACAGGTTCCACAAGTCACTACACAGGTTCCACAAGTCACTACAGGTTCCACAAGTCACTATACAGATTCCAGAAGTCACTACAGGTTCCACAAGTCACTACACAGGTTCCACAAGTCACTACAGGTTCCACAAGTCACTACACAGGTTCCACAAGTCACTACACAGGTTCCACAAGTCACTACAGGTTCCACAAGTCACTACAGGTTCCACAAGTCACTATACAGATTCCACAAGTCACTACACAGGTTCCACAAGCCACTATACAGGTTCCACAAGTCACTACACAGGTTCCACAAGTCACTACAGGTTCCACAAGTCACTACACAGGTTCCACAAGTCACTATACAGGTTCCACAAGTCACTACAGGTTCCACAAGTCACTACACAGGTTCCACAAGTCACTACACAGGTTCCACAAGTCACTACACAGGTTCCACAAGTCACTACACAGGTTCCACAAGTCACTACACAGGTTCCACAAGTCACTACAGGTTCCACAAGTCACTATACAGATTCCAGAAGTCACTACAGGTTCCACAAGTCACTACACAGGTTCCACAAGTCACTACAGGTTCCACAAGTCACTACACAGGTTCCACAAGTCACTACACAGGTTCCACAAGTCACTACAGGTTCCACAAGTCACTACAGGTTCCACAAGTCACTATACAGATTCCACAAGTCACTACACAGGTTCCACAAGTCACTATACAGGTTCCACAAGTCACTACACAGGTTCCACAAGTCACTACAGGTTCCACAAGTCACTACACAGGTTCCACAAGTCACTACAGGTTCCACAAGTCACTATACAGATTCCAGAAGTCACTACAGGTTCCACAAGTCACTACACAGGTTCCACAAGTCACTACAGGTTCCACAAGTCACTACACAGGTTCCACAAGTCACTACAGGTTCCACAAGTCACCTCACAATCGCACAGTGAATCCCAGGTAGGTAAGGCGTAGGGCGCAGCCAAGGTGATGACAATGATCTCTATGGCCGGGGAACATAAGGGCGCTTTACACTCACTCTTACCCTTGTAGACCATCCAACAGCACCAGTGATTACTCAACTACTCAAGTGGCCACGCTGGGCAACCCATCCTCCGAATTGACAGTACGTTTAAATACTAAGTGTAATAATTACATTTTCTAACTGATATACATAGTACATAGTTGCACTTATGAGGCTGTTACTGTTACCTCCACATTTATTTTCCACGTTTTCTGTTAAGACACTCAGAATTTTAGGATGAAATGGAGCCAGATTCATGAAAGCACTTACGAACCTGTACATCTTTTCTCGATCTTTGGCGGCTTTGTTCCCAATTATTAACCAGTTAATGAGCTCCGAAGCACCAGCAGACTGTTTATATCAATAACAAAAGTTGAATGGGAAGTTTTCATGCTTGTAAACTGTTTAATAAATGTAACCAAAGCCGTTAAAGATTGAGGAAAGATGAACAAGTTCGTAAGTGTTTGTGTAAGTACTTCCGTGAATTTGGCCCCAGTCCGATATACACAAGTTTAAAATATCAGGAATTTAATTTTCAGTTTTATTAAACAATAGAGATTAGAGATTTTATACAAAATTTGAAAATATCCTGAGTTATTTTACAATTCATTGAAATATTTTAGTTTTGTTTTATAAAACTATAATATCAATATAGCTATAGGTTAAGTAATAATTGTAATTAAGAAGGAATAAAAATGTTTATCTTCAAAAACTATGACGGTTAGGTTAGGTTATGGTTTTCTATTCAGCTTTTCAGGTAAACTCAAATATTCACAATATATTTGACTACGGTTTAATACTAAGTGCAAATAAGTACAATTCCTGACTGTTATACATAGTACATATTTGCACTTATGGGGCTGTTACATTTACCTCCCCATTTTTGGAGGACGGGCTGCCGCTTAAAGATAACCATAGGTTATCAAAGACTAAGGGGTCACATCAAGATGACAGGTTACATTAGAGATATACAGATATCTTGCTTCGCTAGTCGACAAGAGCCAGGTGGAACGGAAATACACCGGATGGAACGAAAATACACCAGGTGAAACGGAAATACACCGGATGGAACGGAAAT